AGTGAAATAGTGTCCCTTGTCGAGGCTACTAAGTCATTGGGATCGGCATTTCTTTAAGTAATCAAAAGATAAATGATTTAAGAATATCAGCAACTACCCAAGGAAAATATGCAGCGTAAAGAGTAACAGAGAGGGCAGAAGGGAGGAGGGGACAAGCGAAGAGGGGAGGGTAGCATATGCAGAGATAAGTTATCAATATGCAAAGTTGTACAGATTGTTTTTCTGGTTTTGTTTTGTTGGGGAAAATATTACCAGCGCTTCCATCGGTGAATGCCGCTATCTCCGCCATACGCGCAGGCTGCCGGACACGAGAGATGGAAAGAGCAAGATGGGGAAGAAGGAGAGATGGGATGTATGGGGGGGGGGCAGATGTGTTTGTAGGGGGGTAGTGAAAGAGCAAGGATGGACAGAGGGAAAAGCAGGTGTTGTATGGGGGCGATGGTTGAAATTAGAGACAGCGGGTTGGAGGTGAAGGGGGTTTGGTTAGGTTAGGGGAATACGTGCGCAAGTATGGCAACACCCGTACCCTTTCATCTCTCCGTGTCCCTCATTGTCCCTTTTCCATCTCTCTCACTCTCCATCTCTCTCACACGCACGCTACGTGTGTCTCCGCTGTTTCCATGACGACATGTCGACTGGGCTGCTGCTGAGGAGAAAGGAGGCGCGTGCACGGGAAACTGGACGCGGGTGTGCAAAGGTGATTTAGTGGGGGGCAGCAGTGGACATTGATTAAAACACCCACTGCTACCTCGACTCTGTGCTCCAGCAGCTAATATATTCTGCTCCTACCCGCTCTGCAACATTTCAGAACTTCCGACGTCTTATCAAAAGGGTTATGAAGCCATTGCATATACATATATCATCTTAGACAATAATTATCCTATCTAAAAGACAGACGCGCCCGCTATAATAAATTAGTAGTAAATAAATTGCAAGTCCCCTCACGTAATTCGAGTGTCATATGGAAGCTGAACTTCACAAAAATCACTTCACATAAGCACATTCATGTAGTCACCCGCAGGTTAAAAAATGATATTCCGGAAATAGGAATTTGATATAAGCAGTTGCATTTATTGATCAAAATGGTGATTAAAATTGCTGAATGCCATCATATTTGCATAATTATAATATTATAAATATCCACAAAAAGCTTTGGGTCGCTCTGTAGGTCGACCAAAACAGCAAGTTGAAGCATTTCAAATATTACCATGCACAACCTAATAAAGCTACCTGTGTCAAAAACACTTATTGTTTTAAAACAAACCGCAGGCTTATGCATAGACCTTATAACGTCCATTTACGACTCCAGTGTTTTTCTAGCGGGAGGTAAAGACACATCAGAGCTTCGATCCGCTTTGTCACGATCCCTTTTTATCTTCCTCAGCCCTAGCCTGTCTGGTGGCTAGGGGCAGTTGCCCGCTCGTTTGCTCTCCTTTGTTGGCTGGTTTTGGACTTTTCATTATGGCTCCGCTGGTCCTCTGGCCAAAACTGGAACGGGGTGGCAGACATACAAAAATGCGCTGTCATAGTCCTCTTACGGGATAAAAGTAGTTCAGGCTTCATATAATGTTCCATTCGGAAACATAGCTACTAGTGTTAGGTGGTCATTTACTATGTAACTATGTATTTGTAAGGTAATCCTTTTGCAGTTTACTTTTGTATTGGTTTATAAGTGCTCTGTTATGTCTTATTTACTGCTACGTAATGTTCAACCTTTGGGCACCGAGGAGATCATTTTAGATAGATACTGAAATATGGGACGGAAACCCTGTGTTCTTTTATTATACAATGTCTCATTTCTCTGGATGTAAGATAATATGTTTTACAATTAAAATATCAATAAGTAAACAAAACACAAACTGAAATAAATAGGCCCTACATGGAAAGCATCACGGCGATATCCTTCAGCATGTACTGCTTTCAATACGGATTTAAGGACACAAACACAACACAATTAGAAGGAGCACTCTCATGGAAAATGGAAAATAATACTTTACATTGTCATCTTTTCTATCGGGTTTTGAATCGAGAAAAACGAGATTCATAGATGCACCGTTTACATGACAACAACAATAACAATAACACTGTAAAAAGAAATTGCGGTGCTGTATTGGATTCTTAATTGGACTATTCCTGCAATGACTATGTCTCCGGCTTGTTTTGCTGTGCTGTTTATGCCTGTGTTAAGTGTAGTTCCTTGATAATTAAATATTGATTCAGATCTGTGGATATTTAATGTTTAATCAAGGAAAATCAAACTTTGACAAAATAAACATTAATGAATCAATGAATCTTTTGGTTGGCCGACTAAAATAAATGCCACACTAAGCAAATGAGCAGAGAGACATTAGCGGCGTGCGGTTCTGTATAATGAGTCACCTGAGCAGCATTTCGGGGATAGTTTGAAGATGGCGCCACTCATAGGTAAGGGTACAATTGCTGGCATAACTTGCGGTCTCACAGAGCACATATCATGCAGAGACCAGCGACTGTAAGAAAGCAAATCGGTCTACGGTGCAGGTAGGCTACCACAGATTCGATGGCCAGGAATTGGGTTAAGGCGCAGATTTCATGGCAGCAGGCTGAAAACTAAGAGTCACAGAGAAGATAATGGAGCAAGGGGGGCAAGTAGCAGGCTGGGGGCTATCAGTTAGAAGGCCAGTGACTTTGGTGGCAGGAACCAAGCTAATGGCCAAATGGAAGATACAGAGCTGATGGGGTGGCGCATTGCAGACTGCAAGCGAAAGCTGGGTGACAGCCTGCCTTTTATCCTCTCAAAAAGTGCAGACCAGAAATTAGCTAAAGGACTAGCAGCCTTCGAGATTTAAGGGCTCTGCATTTCCACCAGGCTCATGGCCACACAAGAGCAGGCTCGATGACGGAATCAGATCGCACGAAATCCGTAATGCACAGAACATTAGTGACAGACTCCCATGAAAAAAAGAGATATAAAATTTTGGGTGCTTCATTGATGAAATCATATTGTAGGACTGTGTTTTGCGGCGCTAAGGGGATGTATGTCAGGTATCCATCCTTGTGAAAACACGAGAAAGTTCCCGAGTTAAATGTCGCCCTTCAGTGGATCCAATGCTCGACGGGTTAAATCGGTGTGAAATTTATCAGGGCGTCGAACGTATTGACAACCAGAGAGAATCAAAAGCACCTCTTTATAAATACATGGCTCCATCAATTTTCAGTAACATAAAAACATTGGAAAACGTGGCTCCCTTGTACGAAAAAATCGATAATCTGAAGAAAAACAGATTGACATTTATGAACGTTAACATGATGCGATTAGTTGTCTGCAATGACTACAAATCCTATACAAGTCCTAATACATTTTGAGGGAATTCAATCAAATTATATTTTTGAGGTATATTTTCCAATGGACCCGCTTGATATATTCTTGTTTAAACCAAATACAAATTCATACGATTTGATTAGTTTCATACTGTGATCAAAGTTAGAGAAGAAAAAGTGGCAAAAAAAGTTTTTTGTTCTAAGTTGCAATTTTTTCCTTAGCCCTTGGTTTGCTATTATTATTGATTATAATACATGTATCTGTAAATTTTGCCTGTCAGTTAAACACAATTTGATGCTTCTGTAATCAAAGGATTAAGGTAATAATTTCTAACGGCAAGAAGTGCGGTAAAAAGGAAAGATTTATCAAGATGTAATCGAGTTTATTTCGTAGATGACAATCCGTAGCGGATTACTGAATGTTTGGGAATAAAATATGTTCTAATTGCACGTCTGTAGAAAACACAGTGATGGATCTCTTGCGCTCAGTAAAGGTCCGAATAAACTGTTAAACCAGTGTCTTACAATAACTGCGACTTCTGTGATGGCATCAGTGTTCTCAGTTTACTGATAACAGCAACGGATGCATAACTGAAAAACAGCGGAACCTAAAGCAGAGGACGTCTCCGGTTTTTGCTTGAACGCACAGAACACTGTACCCCCCAAAAGTCCAAATCGTAGGCCTATAAGTGATCATAACAACAACAATACCAATAATAATAATAAGAACGATAATAATAATAACAATAATAATGCAATAAATAATAAAGTATCAAAAATAAGATTTCACGGGTGGAGCCTGCCACTCAGAAAATAATGTAACAACGCCAGAATAAAAAGTCATATGTAATTTATGAGAATGACAGCGACATCGCGTGGTCTACATAGGAATAGGTCTACGCCAGGAAACAGCGTTGAGTTGTTTTACGCAGCTGGAAATGATCTAAAAAACATGTCGGGCAAGAGACATGTAAATAAAAAAAAAGGACTCCGTGCATTCAGCTTGAATAAGTCGTCAAAGTTTTAATCATAATACAGTTGTACATATGTCAGTGTATTGCAAATGTGATGTCCCTAGTTGAGAGTAATTGCGAGGTCTGAATCAGGTCTTCCTTGGCCAATACCAATAAATTCAGAATTAAGTAAAATTTAATCTTAGCAGCACTAGTAAGGGACACGTATGTCGTGGCGTTTTGTACTTTTAGGGACAAAAAGTACAAAATCAGCATCCCCGTGGTTCAAACAAGTGATTGCTTGTAATAATACAGCACAAATTGATGAAGCTGCTTTCTAAGGTGACACAGCCACTTAGTTTTGGAAAGTAGATTCCTTGGCAACAGTTATGTGCTCTGAGGAAAATTGCACAAAAATGTCAGTTGTGAGTTAAGCTATTTTCCAAGTGTTTAAAATGACCTTTATTGATATTATTATGAAAACTTATGATGAAATAGTGACTCAGTTTTTTTTAGGAACAAAGTGGCTCATTCATTGGCAGTACAATTCAACCCGGGTGAGTAAGCTGGAGTTGTAGATAGCATATCTTTTGTGCTACGTCTGAAAATTAGTCTTTACTTTCACGGAGTTCCACAAGTTCTATCAAATACAAGGCCGCTCATATATATTACACACATTTTTTAATAGCTGGTCATTCTTTACTTACACATAGCTATGTTATTAATAAAAACCCAACACAGAGAATGCATATTTGACTATGTATTTTATTTAGAAATTATTCTTGCTTTCAAACACATTAAATTAAGTTTTTATTAAAAAAAAAAAACACACAACCAAGGTCACTGTTGCCATGCCCAAATCTGCTGGTTTTCAACAAATGCTCACCCGTAATATCCTAGATATTAAACTATCATTGGTTATTCTTAATCTTTCTCAAACTATGGTTCACAAGATATCAGAAATATTTACACATGTAATGTACATATGTCTGTCCTACACCTCACCATTCCCTGGTCCCAGGTAAATAAGAGCTCTGATCCAGATGATAATACCGACCTGCCCCTAAAATTACCCTAATATGAGAAGACTCAGAAGGAGAGCAATGATCCAATGCAGGGAGAAAAGTCCAGGCATTAGATCCATGGTCGTGCCCTACAGGCGACTGCGATCCAGGGCAGCCAACGGCACTCTGCTCATGTAATCTGGAAATACGGCCACACTGACGGATTCACCATCCTCTCACATGTACTCACAGAGTGGACACCACCTCTCACGGGCTCTGTACAATCTTGGGAGTCAGTTTAAACTGCTTGACTTATGCAAGAACATTGAGGCAGACAGAACCTCAGTTCACCTGGCGCAGCAGTAGCCCTTTTCGCCCGTGTGCCCAAGCCGGCTACCCCGCTGAGAGGCACTGGGTAGAAGGGTGCCAGAAAATGGCACCTTGGGTGTGTCTGGTTATCATCTGAACAGAGCTCACAAAAAGTGCAGGTGGAAAAATCCCATTCTTCTCTTTCCAGTATTTTGGGCCTGAGCCAACCCCTCTCTGCCCCTGCTAGCAACATCAAAATGTCCCCATTTCCTTCTGCAATATTAATTTCTAGACCAAAATACTGATCCATCAGCTCATCCTTTCTACTGAATCCATGACAGGTAAAGACAAATACATCCTCCAAAATTATGGTAATTCATAGCAAAGCATGGCAGATCAGATCATAAGTGACACACATACACTAATCAATGCTATTTTGACAGGTCATACACACGTGTATAATTTATGCTGATCCAAATCTGCACATGCCGTCTCTTTACATCAGAGCATCATGGGAAAATCTGGCAGTGTGTGTGAGACTGACTGTGTTGGGGGCAGACAGTTGCCTTCCCACTGGTTTTCAGTGCAGTTCAGCCAAGAAGAGCAGGCTGGTCTTAAAGAGAGAGGCTGCACTCTCTCATTCCCTCAATTCCATCATCATTTAAAAAAAGTCACCGTATGTTGGCTTCGAGGCAGCCGCCATTACTGAGGCCGTGCCTTGGGGAGGGGGGGAGGAAGGAGTCACAAGCAGGTATCTGCCTTCCTGCGCCATCGTTCTGCACCGATGCTGGTTCATCAAGACCTGGAAAAAGTGATGAGGAGGAACAGCGTCAGGTGGCTCTGATAACCATGAATAACCAGCAGACTTATGGACGTAAGTTTTGAGGTTTATTTCATTTTACTGGACTCAAAGAAGACAGCAGAAAAGGTTTAGATACCATCTTGTTGAGCAGCACTTCTCAGCCATATGACTGCGACAGACTAAATTGAACAAGAATTCAGCCCTTTTGTTTCTGATTGATTCCAACAGCAGAGCTCTTCTAGAACAGAATCAGGAAGAAGATGAGTTCATACTGAAACTCAGCCCTAACTGGGGGGCGATCAGTCACCACATGATGTACTTCTGTTTTAAATCAGTAACTAGTCAAATTGTAAATAGGACTGCAAGATTCCAAGACTCTCACTTCCCCTCAGCAGGATGGCAGACAGTCCAGCTATAAAAGCATTTTAAATATTGTGAATGTGTATGTGCAGCTGCATGTGTAAAGCTTGCCCTCAGGTCACCACTGATGGAATTTCAGTTCAATAATATGTAATGTGTACTCAAGCAGGATGGGGGGACAAAAATGCTGTAAAAACACTAGAGAGCAGAGGTCATTCCTTCTTCCACAAGTACAGTATGGATCGCAAGTAACGCAGATCTGAATATACGTATCAAAGAGTCAAATCTGACAGCCACTACAGTGCTTTTTGCGAATGTGCATAAGTGAAAAACAGCATCTAGGTGAATTTTAGCCTCTTAACTTTCTTCAGATCCTGACATCCCAAAACTTTTAACACTACATAAAAATTCAACAGCTGACTGGGATAGAGAGAAGCATCTCATGGAGGCATTTATCTGTGCCTGTGTAAGATATTATGCATCATTTAACTTACCCACAAAACAGACAGAAGTGTAAAGGATTAAGCACAAAATCCACTTGGACAAAGATAGTGTGTTAACACTGGCCTTCTACAAATACCAGCACACACACAGACCGAAAGACTGCAACAATCCCCAAGCACAGAGCGCTCGCAGCCAATTACCTGGTCCCAGTCCAGGAGGCCATCCAGCCCTGGCTCTCTAGAAGCAGCCTTCGGCCCTCTTCGTAATCATCCTGGTCCACACTGACCAGAAGCCGTACTCCCTCGTGGCCCGCGGCTCTCTTCAGGGAGTCGGTGATGAAGACACCCTTGAGCGCTTCCAGAAGCGCCCCGCTCAGGTAGTCGGCCCAGAAGGCGTCGAGGTTGGTCAACTCCGAGAACTTGATGTCACAGATGATGGAGCCGAGGTCACGGGCACGCAGCACTGAACTGGCCCTGCTGAAGAGCTCGAACTGGCGTTCAAGGGGCTGCTGCTTGTCTGAGGACACGCCGCCTCGCAGCGCCGACTCGTGCTCCGAGTACTCGGCCCGCACGCGCAGCCGGATGTCTGTTCGGGCAGAGAGGGGCAGGAGGAGGAGCAGGAAATACAGGTGGGGGAGGAGGGACAGAGGCAGGAAGAAGGGTTAGGGTTGGTGGCAGCAGACAAAGGGAAGGTAAAGCACAGTAGAGGGTTACAGTACAGGAGAGTCAGTTGGGGTGAGTTAAGAAAAAGGAAGTGATGAGAGAGAACAAAAAGGGGACAAACAAAACAAACAACATGAATACCTGTACATTGAGATGACACTGGCAAAGCCTGTCTGTGGTAGATTAAAAGTACGACTGTGGACAAACAGGCATAAAATGTTCTGGGGGAAATTGGGGCACATGTGGTGGGTGACGGAAAAGAGAGGGTCTGAGGAACACATAGACCAGAGCAGATGCACTGTAACGGCAGAAGATAGTGCCCTTATACAACCTAATATCCTCTGAAAAATGCGGGGGGACATCATATGACCACAAGTTGCAACCTCACCCAATGACACCAGTGCTTCGCAAGCAGCTAGGGCCCATGAGCCTACCACCTTCCTTAAAGACAGTAGACACAAACATGAACAGGCACTCGGAGTAGTTATACGCCCATACAGATCACATCCGAGTGGTTATGGACAGAGGGAGGGAGATTACATTCAATGAAAAGTCCCCACTGACTACCACAATTATTAAAACACCACTCCTGAACTCTCCCCAGATGGACATCGAACGTGGTGCGTCTCTTCAAACAGGATGTGAGCACTTCCCCACAGGTGGACCGCGGCACCTGTGTTCATCTACTTGAGTGTGGGATCTCGTGCATGAGACACAGAAGCCCTACCATGGCTGGGGCACAAGAACAAACAGGTGGGCATGAGCCAACACAAAAACGGTTGGACTGGGGAAGAAAAGAAAACAACGATGAGAGAAGACTGACCGGATACTAAGCTCTGTTCACACTGAGGGCGAAGTTTCACACGGTGTGGTGACTTTCCCAGTAAATTAGCAAATGAGTAAAACTTCCGTAATGAAAACCTCATCTGTAAAGATGCACTGGATGAAACTAACAGCTACACTGTAGATGCACTCTATTCCTCAAAGGGCCCTTATGAGTGTCTTATCCATGCATAGCAAGCGAGGGTTGACGTTTCTTGGAGGATACATACTGGAGAGTGGACAGCAGCGCTCATCTTGTCATGTGGATGGGCTCTCTTCAGACTTCACTGAAACAAAGATTCCCCTACATGGCACAGAGGCGTGCGCAAGGGGTTAAAAATAAAATAGGCAGGTTGGAGAGAGGGGGTTCAGAGAGGGTAGGAGTGCAGGGGGCAGAATACTTTAGAGTGAGAGGAGGAGGGTGAGGATAGGCAGGAGGCAGAGAGTAATGAGGACGTGGCAAACAGGCCCAAAGCCATGAATCGCAATTTCAGAGCCTTCAGTTGGAAAAGAAAAGCCCAAATTTTCCATCTTTACAGCCAAAGGGAGAGTGGCACTTATTTTATTCAGACATAAGTCACAGACACAGGCACAAGGTGATGAGCATTTGCCCTCGGACATGTTAACTTTTCGAAAGATTTGCAACAGGAAGAATTTTAATTGCATTAATCAATACACCTAGTTGGAAAAGGCATGGGACAAATTATTTAAAATAATTAAAGGGGAATACATATTAAATTACCCAGGACAAGGCAGTTTAAGAAATTAAACATAAAATCAGAACTATCAAAAGAAAATTAAAAACATAACAGGATATACATAATTTTGGTCTTTAAAACTGGAAAAAAAAAAACACAAAACCTTTAAAACACAAATGACTCAGTCTGATTTTAATGAAAGAGTCAAGTTCTTTGCCTCTAATTAACAAAAACATTTTTGTTATGGGCAGCATTTTGTCAACAGATTCCATGACTGATATCCTAGGAGAATTATTTGTGTTACAGCCAATCATAACATTTTGGGGAAGGGTAGCAAAAACCCACTGGGAGCTACATACAAAATACTTCTGCTGTGGAAATGTAAATGTTATATTTATAATTCAATTTTTACTCCCTAACATTTGGGAATGAGTAAAGCCAAACACTGCCACTGTTCGCAGCTTCCCTGGCTTGAGAATTTAATACCAGGAGGGCTTTTTTGGCCCTTTTAAACATTCAGATCTTGTTTGATTTGCTTCTCAAGGCCGTCAGCTGGAACTGTGAAAATGCCCTCATGTTTGCCCTATCTCCATGTCTGTTTGCAGTTTCGCCCAGAGAAACATTGGCAGTTTTTTTCCAGCATTCGAGCCACTGCAGTGAAAAACCTACCCCATGACTGAAAGAAATGGGCTCCCTGTTTGTTTCTTTTATTTCTGTGGTGGAGGGTTACTGTTCTCAATCCACCGACCCAAAACCAGCTCTCTTAAAGACAAGGGTGGGAGGGGACTCTGCACGCTGGCCAAGACAGCAGAAACCAGAAACATGACGGTGGCCCTGGGCAACAGCATGAGGAATGATACTGAGGCAAGTAGGAGATGGGCTACACACCCTGCTGATTAGAAATTTCTCACAAAAAACAAAATTTAATCTTTGGCACCATCAGCTTTGAATGTAACATTTTTTCTGGAGACAGCACGTATGTACAAAATCAGGGTACAACCCAAAAGGTAACAAATTGCCACTGAAGGCCTTTGGCATTTAAGGCATCAAAGCGAGGTAACAGGCTAGTAACAAAAAGTTTGCACATCCCATTTCTTGCACACTTACATTGTCAGGCTGTACAATATCATACACATTTCTGTCCTGTTACAGCACCCTGAGTGGTTTGTTTTTTTTCCCCCTCAGTGTAAAAAGCCTGTAATCACTCCAATCCACCACAGTTTTAAAGGTATTACAAAAAGGCCCAGGAAGGTCTTAAAAAATATTTCCAGTTCTCTAGGCAGGTTTAAAAGCTTTTTTCCCCCTCACTATTTTTACACTGACTGCTTTTAGTATAGGAAGGGCTTCTTCAAAATAATCTCACAAGTAGTAATTTCCTTTAAAGGTCAATTGTTAGCTTGCACACAGAAAATGGATGCAATAGAAGATTTTTCGAGCCCCCCCCTCCCCGCCCACCCAAGAACACTTGACAGAACCAATGTCATTGCTGTTACTGTTGCTCCGACTCTTTTTGCAACCTTTAACATTCTCAAAGAGATAAAATGCACTGAATAATACCATTTCACTCTAAAAGGGGAGAGCTCTGGCGATTCCATCCAGCTTTCTTTGCTGCCCCCTAAAGACCACGGCACATTAGGCGGGGTCTGGCGGGCGGATGGATGGGGTAAAGAGAAAGAGGAACCTGCATTTTGCTCTCGAAGGGAGTGGTTCATCATTCAGAGTAAAATTTGCTTCAGTGCTGGATCACAGTGTGAATGAAATCAGAATGTAGTCCTCTCATCCTGAATGCAGTCAGGGTACAGGAGCCCCACGGAGCCATACAGACAGAACTCTGCTCATTCAGCAGGCTTGGAGTGGCAGAAAAAAAACATTCACATCCAGAACTGTACATTTAGGGCACTGGTTTAGTAAAGTAGCTCTGCCCATCTTATCATGCATTGGACATTTTAGCTAGCTGTGCACAGAAATATGAAATAAATCCTGGCTGACATGAAGATGCTTGCCCTTTCACCAAATGGCCCTTCTAGTCACATGAGATTGGAGGGGACAGAGACTTTAGGTTTCATCCTAAGTAACCAGGCGTTACACCTGAAATTTGACCAAGCCCAATTAAGTCAAAGTTGAACATGAACTTTAGTTAAAGGTGATTCATACTCACTGAAACCCATATACTATAGCATATTATACTGATCTGCACATAGACAGATACTGATCACAGACAGCCTTGCCACAGCAGTTCTGACTCCAAAGGTAAATCAGCTGATCACTAGTTGTCAATCAGATGTCCATTAAGACCCCAGCTAGAGACATTTGTTTGGGTTTGGGCCTTGGAGCTGATCTTTAGTGTCAGCAGAACAATGTAGAACCAAGGAACAGCCAAGGAGCGTTTGAGAAACACTGAAAGACTGGATGAGACCATGTCATTGTTGTACAGCTTCATCAAACAAGGACAGTGAGATGCAATAGACATGTAAAAAGGAACAACTCATTTTTCCTTTTATAAAAACAAGACCCAGTTTAGTTACTCCATTTGGCTTGACAGAATGCCAACAAAAGTACCGTTTGAGACGTCAGTTGATGTGGAGAGCTTCGACTCTATCGATCCGCTTTTCTGCCGAGCAGCAGAACGAGAGACTGAAAGAGCGAGACGGGCAGACAGATAACGGCATGCTGTCTGTTTGTCCGTCTCTCACTTTGTTCGGTTTGTTTGCTCAATTGTTTTTGTGTTCGTTCTCTCGCTCTCATTGTGTCTGTGAGGACGACCAACTTGTGTTTCCCTGACATGAGTCAGTCTGTTTTGAACTGCGAACACAGAGAAAGGAGAGAAAAAGAGAAAGACAAGAGATTGGCTTTGGTTTTCACTCCGGTAGCGGTTTGTCAACACAAGCAGGCATGGTACAGACATATCTCCCCTTCCGGCCCTTTGCTTTACACTGATTCGTAGTTTTTTTCTAGAATGACCAATTTCCTTGAAAGTTGGCACATACCATGAGGCAACCAATGAATCAAAATGCCACATTTAAAGCCTTCCAGTTAAATCACTTAATGTTCATTTACATATTGGTTATCACTAAGGAATCTGAAGCTCAGAGACAGGAATAATTAAGGTGAGGAGCTTAAAAATTCGCCAAGCATGCTGATCAGCACAGATTGTTACCAAAAGTTATAGCAGGCAAAATGCATTCCTTCTAATTCCATAACAGTAAGAATATTAAAAAGCATCTGCGTTGGAGACTGGGCTTAATTAATCATTATCTCTTTCTTAAATAAACTGACCTACTGTTAGTTAGTTAACAAAAAAAATTTCTACCAATTAAGCTGACACCTTCCCCATCACACATCCCAACTCTGGAGAAATACCACTCACATTCAAAATAAGTTACATATGCCAAAGCATAAAGACAACATGCTTGAATCTGTATTGCATCATGCATCTACGACGTAGCAAAGCACAGATAGATATGACTACCACCATTTACAAAGACCAGTCTTTCAGCTTATATGCTGCTGTAATAAGGAAAAGACATGTACCAACTTTCAAAAAAATACCAAGGTCATCTAAAATTTCATGACCCAGGAGCTGCCTGAAAACTGCAATTGCACACAGTAAAGAGGCCAGAGTTTGTTTTCCTAGACTATTCCAGTGGAGTGGAGTCCAGTCCAGTCACTCAGACTAAGGGTCAAATGCCCACCACACCCTGCAACTCAATCTCCTCTCATAATGCTTTGGCATTTAGTGAGGAGACAATGCAACAGATTATACAACCCAAAAGACTAAAGGAAAAAAAAATCTTCTATAAATATACTACATAACACGCACGCACAAATACAAACTTACACACACAAACTTACACAAACTTAATGCAGACTGAGGATACCTGAAGCTTGGACTATCTTAAATAACCATGTACACTATGCTGCATTTATAACTGCAGAAATGAAATTTGACTGGCATTAAGAAAAAGTATTTTAAACAATTTTGAGAATGACGGCACAGACTGTAATATATGAGCCAAGCAGACCATCCTAGGTCGTATTTTACATGATTAAAAAAAAACAATGGCCCCTTTACTGCTTGCAATTTAATCAGACTGCTTTTATGTCATAGTTCTCTTCCTTAAATGATCTGTAAAATAAGTCTGTTCAGTGAATAACAAAACGAATGTGTGACAATTCTTTGGGAAACAGTTTAATTACTCCTAATAATTTTAGAAAGAATTATAGAACACACATAGCCTTCTAGTTAAAATTATACTAAAGTGCTATTACAAAAGAAAACATCTTTTACCTCTGATCTCATACACAGCTCACTGTGGGCACAGAGATCAGGTATGTGGGTTTAAGAATAGTTTATTTTACTTTGTTGGGGGATTTTCCTCAGAACTGTTCAAGCAAAGGTTCCAGAAAAGATTCAAAGAAGTTTTAGAACACCATCAGCATTTGGGTCATTTAAAAAATGAGAACTGGCAGAATATTGAGTCCAGTGTTAGGGATGGTTTCCACTTATAATACAGATTCCAGAAGGGTTTTAGAGGACATGAGACATGTGGCATATTCAAATGCAATGTTTAAATTGCTGATAGCTAGAAGTTTTGGGACAGCACCAGAACCACATAGGTCAATTAAAAAATGTTCGGCACAATTCTGAAAGCAGTTTGGCATATTTTTGGAATTGAGTCAGGTACTGATTCTGAATGGTTCCGGCTCACGCTTGAAGCCTCTTATAAAAATGTTCTGAGAGGTATCTGAGCACATTCCTAGAACAGCTCTGGGAGGACATGGTTACAGTGGACTCTTTGGTCAATTCTGCAAAATGTAGAGGCCCACACCTCCGACAGAAACAGTGAGGATGGGCTGGGCTCTCTGATGATCACTCTTAGCCAGAGAGAAACACCACAGAGAACACTCGAGCACACTTGTAGAGCATTAGAGGGTAGGGGAGGTTTGTTGGAGCACAGGCATTGAACACAGAGCATGTGACAGCCCCCACACGGGACTTCTTTACCTTAGGCATCGGGCCGACCATGAGAGAGTGCGAGTGAGCACACGCTGACCATACGGACAGAGAGACAGGACTGACTCACTGCAGTCTCTCTCTCTGTTTCCTACCCGATCTGAGTTTCAATCCTCAGTCAACCTGGTGGAATCAAATGCGAAGTCAAGACAGCACATTTTCATTGGACAAGAAACAACACTGCAGGGCACTTTTGGTCTGTTTGATCTGCTCTGTACTGGAGGGCTTTCTCAGTCTAATTTGTAAAATTATGTTTTACTTTTGTTCTACTAGGGAGGCCCTGCTGCATGAGACAAAATGTGTTGCATAAGGCTATACGCAGATGAATGTCCGTAAAAATTTAGAGGCTGCTTATAGCCTGATGAACACAGTAGGCTGAACACGATCTTCTACAATCTGTTGTATATTTTTCTTTAGAAGTGAAATGTTGTAAACTCATAATATTTGGATGTAGGAGGAATATTCTCAGCTATTTATAAGATGGTTTACCATTACAGACATCTAAACAGTGCTCAAGCAGGTACAATTTAAATGGGGGTCAACAGAATTCAGACTTACTTGTCCCAGAGTTCCACAACTTTTGCTGGACCTAACCACTATGGATTGAAAATTCAGGCAGAACAGAACATCAGCACAGTCATGCTTTGCTTGTCTAAATCAGTGACAGAAGACCTACCGAAGGAGGCATTGTGGTAAAGTGGCTGAAGAAATAGAAATGGAGGGGAGGAATAAAGTGAAAAAGAATGACAGGACCAGCTGAGTTATTGCCATCGCAATACATCGATGAACTGGTGAAGCACACTCAGCACGGGTACACACACTCGCATACAGAGAGAAAGACAGAGAGTGTGATCATAGGGTCTGTATGACAAGGCCCCCTATAGACTAGACCCTTATTCTCCCTTGATCTAATATTCATCAGAGTGGTCTGTGGATGTAGATGGCTCACACTTCATGCACTAATCATTCTCTCATCAATCAAGGGATTTCCGACAGTTTACATATTGATATATGTTTGTCTAGGGAAGGTCTCTCACTCTCTCTCTCATAATAATCACAACCAGGACAACGCATGGAACACAAGTGAAGTTCTAATGGAGATGCAGCAGTGACACTACGCAAGGGCGGGGTTCACGTTTGCACAGCGGTCACTCTCACAACAGAGCATACAGCAGGTTTCTTTTGTATGCTGCTTTAAGGACACTCATGGCGTTTTTTACTATTATATGATGTAGTGACTGTTGGATGTATGGGTACTTTACAGATCTCATAGAATTTATTTCAAGATTTTGATTATATATGCACACTGTCATGGTATCTAAAGATATAAAACTTATAGACAGAGATACTGTCGACTGACTAAGGCTTTTCTCTAAAGAAAAGTATTAACATTTACATCCAGGTTTCACTATCAGTTTTGTAGATACATAATGCTACAAGTAAGAACCACTCTGGAGAGAGCAGAAATAAATGTCAAACTGCCATGAAATACATAGGAATTTCCTTTACAAATCAGACAACATCAGAGGCCTGCTGTAAGCTGTGTGAGACACAGACTGAATCATACTGCTGTGCAGAAAATATTGCTATTGTTCCTATAATATTTTTGCCAAGTTTAGAAGCAATTAACATTAAATAACAGCCGTGGCTTCTGTTTGTTTGAGGGATCCCTCTCCTTGATCATAAAATTCCATAGATCAGGGGTGATTTAAAAACTGACAACCATTGGCCATTCTTCCTGATGAGAAATACACACGCCACTGCTGATTCCTGAATGCTCCATGAATTCAAAACTCTCAACAAAAAAAGACAGCAAACTGCATGATTAATGTGACTTACTATTAGATCTTAACTAGGATTTTCTGCAAATTCTCTATATTGTATACATTAACAAAATAAAAGATTCCATCTGATCCAGATCTTAATTAAAACAAGCCACAAGCGAATTGCAGATTTTCTTGCTGGATTCCATTACCCCCCAGATATTAAGCACAAGAGAATGCAGCTTGTGCTTCTAATGCTCTGTAGCCTTAGTGAGGTCTTGCATAGAGCCAAAGCTTCACAATGATCTAAGGAGTGTTTCAGCACAGTACCTGTTAATGGCATTAGCTCTTGAAATCAAAGAGGGACATGCACTAACAAGCCCTTCAATTTTAAGTAGAATCCCATTGGTCAATGAAAATGGCTTCATTTTCCACCTCCTAAACAAGCACGGATAGATGTTTACAGGCAGTTTATAGGTCTTCCTTCTCAGGCTTCTCAGAGAAATTAGATGCACAAATAATCACAACACCTCACAGGCATAAAGCAGCTGACACACACTTTGATAAGAACCCACTGTATGCTAGAATTGTGGTGGTGGTTCTTAAAATGTCACGTTAAACAAAGCCAAACTGACTTAATAGCGCATACTGAAACATGCCTCCCTGAGTTGTTAAAACATGCGGGGGTGCGGGTGGGGAAGACAAAAGAAAGGAGCTAGCTGCTGCTGCTAAATAAAAAGCGTAGCAAAATTTCTTAAGTCATCCCAAGACACTTGGAGACCAGAGGGAACAAAACGACACGAGTCTGTCCAAACATACCAAACAGGTTCAAAGATGCTGCATCAAACAATAACGAGATTATTTTCACCCCAACCCCAATGTAAGGGCCTTGGCAGAGGAGTCTGAAAGCTGGATGATTCAGAACAGTGGAAAAGCTATGCACCAGCAAGTAAGTGTTTAAAAAAATCTGTGCTGTTGATAGAGTGGATGGCACTTATGTGATTCACGGCATGGGAAGACGGACAGAGTACAGGTAAGAGAATTTCAAATTCACAAATGCTGAGAGAGAGACCCATACTCACTCAGAGAAATGAGCAGTAAGAGAGAGAGAACAATGAGGCGTTCTTACCGCAGGTGATTTTCTCTTGTACAGGCTGTGGTGCAGGGAGGGCTTCTGACAATTCTGCCACCCTCTGTTGGGGAGTCAGATTTGCACGCCGGGTACCACGGCCACGCTTCCGGCGAGCAGAAGAGCGTGTCTGTCTTGATGGATCGACACCTAATACACACAAAATCAGATAAACTGACATTTCAGAAGGTGGGGATGCAGGGTGCTTTAATCTAAACCGAAATAAGATGTTCAGCACATACACATAGACACACAGAGAACGGAAGCAAGCAAATTCTGGTATGATTTCCACAAACCACACAGGTGTGCCCCATGATGCTGACCTGCCCTCCACTGCTGCGATGAGTAGTCTTGTGAATAGTTTGTCTGTCTGTAGCTGTTGATCAGTTCGACACAGCTAACTTCCCTTTGGTCTTCAGCCAAGAGCTCCACATTATGACGTTCTGGTGACACTGGAAAACCGAACAGTCAACAGAATACTGCTAAGTGGTTTAAAGATCATTTCGGCAAATCCCACATATGACCCATGCTTTGCTTATTCTGATTTCTTCGAATGCCAATGTACATATGCTTTACGCAAATGTACTAATACAAATAGCATCATTTCAGTTAGACAGGAACTAGACCTAAGAGTTACTAGATTCAAGAATCACGCAATTAAATGTTAAATGTGCTCTATGTGATGAAATTCTTCTTTTGTTCACTCCACATAGGGCTGGGAGATGTCATATCGCTATTATAATCGCTCATGCACAATAATCACCAGGGCTTCAAATGGCAGGTAGAAGATTTGGCTGGACACCAGCTTTTCGGTACTATACGGATGTTTATTTACGCTCCCACAATTTGTTAACCAGGTTAGAAGTGCGAGTAAAATATTAATGAGATACGTTTTGAGACACCCAAAAGTTAGTAATCTGTATAAATATGGCATATCTTTATGTTTATTAAATTTGGTTACGGGAGCACACTACATAATACTGTTCTGGTATACTATGCTTTGGTTTGCGGTGAAGAAAGGAACAGGGACAGCCACAACATCTTTTAAAAGAGGAGATCATATGTATAAACAAGGTAAGACACTGGTGGCATGGCACTACTTTTTGCAGTTTAAATTGTGACATTTATTAAACATAAGGATATGTTGAATTTTACATTTACAGCATTTGGCAGATACCCTTAGCTAGAGCAACTTGTACACGTGCTTAGAAGTCTCATCGCTGAATACATTCTGATACTCGTTCAATAGAACCTAGCTAAGAATACTACCACTCTAAAAAAAAAACTTTTGGAAAGTAATACAATTTCTTTTTAAAATAATAATAGTATAATCCTGGAAGTGCTAATCCAAGGACATCCGAAAGACATAGGTTTTTAATCATTGTTTGAAGGCACCAAATGACTCAGCTGTCTAGACATATAGGAGGAGTTCATTCCACCACATAGGTGCCAAAGCAGAGAAGAGCCTAGGTGCATGTCTTCCTTGCGCCTTGAGAGATGGTGGGACCAGTCGAGCGGTGCTGGAGGAGCAAAGAGAGCATGGTGCAGTGCTGGGTGAGATAAGCGCTGGTCCATTTTTGGCTTTGTAGGTGAGCATCAATGTTTTGAATCTGATGTGGGCAGCTATAGGAAGCCAATGGAGGAAGCATAACAATATTGTGGTGTGGGAGAAATTGGGAAGGTTGAAAGTGAGTCGGGCAGTTGCATTCTGGATCAGTTGTAGAGGACGAATGCGCCCAGAGGCAGACCTGCTAGGAGTGAGTTACAGTAGTCTATTCTGGAAACGACAAGAGACTGGACAAGTACCTGAGTGGCCTGTGTGGAAAGAAATGGACGAACCCTACTGATGTTGAAAAGAAGAAATCGACATGAGCGGGAAAGATTAGCTGATTACTAATTTTCGGGCATCATAAAATGCCTCAATAATATCTTAGCTGTACTACTAATCTGCTTAACAAATTGTGGGCCTAAATAAATGTCATTATAATACCAAAAAGCTGGCGTCTGAATAAATGTTTTGCCTGTCATCTTAAGTCCTGGTGATTATCACATTTCTGATATAATATCTATATGATATCGCTCAACTTAAACTCCAGACATTGCACAGAAAAAAAAAAAAAACACTAAACGCTGCAATAATCATGCATTGCTTAACAACACTGACACTTTCAAGAAATGCTTTGTTAGGTGATTTTGTCATTGTGCAAGGTTCAGAAAGCAGAGCTATTCTACTTATAGTCCTCAAGGACAGAGCACTGCTGATTTTCCAGCCTTCCTTTACCTGTGAACCAGGTGTGAAGCCAATCAGAGCCAGTAACTATAACGCTAACTACCTGAGAGAACTGAAAACAAGGCCTGGTTTTGTAATCAATGGCCAGATTTCAATGATTGGGTCATAAAGTCTACTTATACAAATCTGGTTGGTATAGCATAAATAACAGTTAAAATACAGTATAGTAAATGTATATTATGTGCCGATATTATGTACCGTGCAAAATTGCATGTGGCATATTTTACTTTTATAGGAGTGGCAGCACAGCCGGTTTGTTTACAGCACCATCACCACAAACACGTGAGTAATGCGACATTACTAGGTGATAGAAATTTTTCAGCTCCATTATAACCTTGTGGGACCACCGTCGCAAATGCGTTCCGCCGGTGACCGAAATTTGTTTTGCTGCGCATAACTATATACTAAATTTAATAAAGACATGGCATATACATTTGCCACACACTAAAACTGTTTTTCTGTAAGAGCTGTATTAAGGTACAATTCCTCGTGATCGAGCCCTTTAAAACGCATCTCACCTGTCCTCCTTTTCTTGCGGGATACAAACGGAAGAAGATCGTGCCGCGTCAGGACTCGAAGAAGTTGCAACAGAGGCTCCAAGTTCCCTTCGCTTACATACCCACGCCTCTCCAGCTCCAGTAGCAGCTCTAAGCCGCTTTTGGGTCTGTGTCGCGATTCTGAAGGACACGGGGCCGAGCGAGGCTCTATCCGACGCCAGGCCTCCAGAAGCCTGTGACTAGGCGAATCTTCGTCAGAAACATCGGGGGTCCAGCCCGCCGGATCTAGGGGATGCTGTCCAGGGTACGTTTCTTCCAGCAAGAAGGACAGCACTTCGACGTCAGTCTCCGTCAACTGGGAACCAACAACTTCGAAGATTTCGTGAAGGGACAGCATTCCGTAATAACTCAGGCACTCGGTCTCTTCCCAATACAAAGAGTACCTCTGTCTCCCAACTGCGGCCATATTTGACTTCTGACAAGTTGGCGATAAGTGTGGGTGCGTCTAAATGTAGACCAAAACAAAGCAAAATAAGTGCACTGCAGTGTAAACGTGTGGACAAGAGCCGCTACCCAATACGGAAAGACTAATTCACCGAGCTATTTATACGAGCTTGTCTCCGAAATACGAAATGTAACTTTTAGCAGCGAAGTCGGTTATTGGCGAGATTAAATCAGAAAATAGTATATTTGCACGCCCTCGCCATTGTCGAACAGAGAAGGAGTTCGTAAACATCACGTGATTACGTTACGTAATGCCATGTTTTTCTCCCCCCCCCCAGTAGTTTCGCTCAGACAGTTAACCAATAATATTCCGGTACTCCACTCTAGTTAGCTAACCGTTTCATGTAAGTATAATTAGATTAATATTATAGTTAAAAGCAAACGCAGTAGGCCGATATCCTCCACTCTATCCCTGCTGTAGGCCTGAAGCTAACAGTTAGCCACGTCACCGCTCATCGGCTACACGCCCCGCAATGTTCTCGAACATACCACAGACCCAGGCCCAACGACACTAACTTTCCGAAGGTCGTATTTAAATAAAGCAAAATTATATCAGAATTAACATTAGTTTAACTGTACCTTATCTGAAAACAGAAATGTCACCCCATTAAAACGTCTGCTTACATTACATAAGGTTTATTTGCCTGGATAATGCGGTATATGTTAGCAGCTTTACATTGTATATAAAATAAACAATGCGCAATATCTTTTGAAGTAAACATATTAATAAAAAATAATACAGTGGTATTTAAAATGTTATCATCCTGCGACAACTGAACGATCTAGCTAGCCAGGTTAGCTAACCGTTAAAATTGAAAAATTTTAAATTGTTTCTTCAGCATACAAGTGTAAACGTTAAAGGTGTAATATTTTACCGCTACGTCTGGTAACATCTGTATATTTGACACAACAACGTGTTTTATACCAACCTTAGTTATCTAAGATGAACAAACGAGTACGAGCTCTGCAGCTGTAGTCCTTCCTCAAGCTCCCCCCAACGCAGAGATACCGAAGGTGGCGACGATCCACCAATCAGGAGGCTCCGCTGAGCTGTCTCGAGTCCCTCACGCGCTATACTGCAAGTATACCGCATTGAAGCACATGGAGAAGAATTGATTTGGATGCTTTTATCTTATAGGGAAAATTGGAATAGCTTCAAAGTTGGATCAGTTAGGAAAAGTGTTGTTTAATAGATAGGGGCTTATCAACTAAGTATTTTGTCGCTAGAAGCAGGTAGCACCGTTTGGAATTAGTTTACTGCGGCAGCATTTCCTATAAACACATTTTACTCATTTTGTACAATCAGTGTATTTTTTATAATTATTAGTTAAATTAAATCGTCTTTGCCTGTACTGTGTGTTTTACTTATATTTTGTTCTTGTTGGGTTGAAACATGCAATCTATTTGGCAAAATTGAGGAAAATCTTTTACTGTTCAAAACAGCTGAAACCGGGCAATAAATAGTGTCACAAGTTAATAACTTCAGTGAGAATGCATTCATTATAAGATGCATTCCTAATGTATGAAACCTCACACTGCCTAAATGTCCTTTGGGATTAATATTTCTATCTATCTGTCTGTCTGTCTGTCTGTCTGTCTGTCTGTCTGTCTGTCTGTCTGTCTGTCTGTCTGTCTGTCTGTCTGTCTGTCTGTCTGTCTGTCTGTCTGTCAGTCATTAATAATAAAGTTACCTTGCAATCCATAGATATTCAGATATTCACATGTATATGTGGTTTGACGTATTCTCCGCTCCAAAAGGTAAGCAGATTTACATCGCTGGCTGTCGGAATGATGGCCGATAAATGGTGTGGGTTATATAGACAACTGGCGGATGTTTTGTGGTACTGTAGGCCTGGGCTTTTGAAGAGGGACGGTATTCACCCCTCGCGGGCTGGTGCCGACCTCTTGTTTAAAAGCATAGCTCTTAGTCTCCAGGCAAATCGCTGACTAACTAGAGCCAAGTCCAGGCGGCAGGCAAACCGGCATAACCGACCGCCTGCTAGTCGCTTAGAGTCGTCACCTAGGGTTCATTTTATTGAGACTGTGTCTGTTCCCCGCGTTTTTAATCATGGAAGCCTATTCCACCGTAGTGTGTGCCATAATAACTTAATAAAAATTAAAATGAATCCGTTACTAGAAAACAGCTGTGATGCAGGGCTTAAACTTAAACTTGGACTTCTGAATGTAAGATCACTGGCTCCTAAGGCACTATTAATAAATGAAATAATTACTGATTTTAGTCTTGGTGCCATATGCCTCACAGAGACCTGGCTTAAACGGAATGAATTCATGGCACTAAATGAATCTACTCCAGCTGAATACAGTTATAAGCATAACCCTCGACCAAAACGCAAAGGTGGTGGTGTTGCTGCAATTTTTCAGCCCAGCCTAGGAGTGTCTGAGAAATGTGGTTTGAGTTTCAGCACATTTGAAACTCTTGTTCTTAGTCTTGCTGGCTCATCTCTTTCTAGCTCCTCACCCCAAATCACCATTGTTATTGTGTATAGACCACCTGGGCCGTACAGTAATTTTCTTAAGGAGTTCGCTGATTTTTTAACTAACCTGGTGGTCAGTACTGACAAAGCTGTTATTGTGGGTGATTTTAACATTCATATGGAGAAAGATAGTGATCCTTTAAAAATAGCGTTTACAGCTATTCTTGACTCTCTAGGTGTATGTCAGAATGTAGTCGGGCCTACTCATGCCTGTAACCATACCTTTGATTTGATTATTAGTTATGGCATCCTGGTGGAACATGTATCTATTATGCCTCAGAGTCCTCTGCTCTCAGATCATTACTTGTTAACGTTTGAAATGATCCCGTTGACCACAGCTCCAAAGTACAGTATCAGACGTTCCATTGCCTCACTAACTACAACAACATTTATGAAACAACTTCCACAGTCCTTCAGCCTTACATCTGAGGCATCGTGTATAAATGAACTTGAACAGGCAACTGCAAACATGGAAAAATCCCTTCGTAGCACACTAGATCTTGTAGCCCCACTTAAGAAGATAAAGCACAGAGATAAAAAACCTGCTCTGATCATACACGTGAAGTCAAACAGGCATCACGCAAGCTAGAGCGCAAATGGCGCTCAACTAAACTAGAAGTTTTCAAATCTGCATGGAAAGAGAGCCTGTTTAAATACAGACAAGCATTAGTGACTGCTAAAATTCTCCATTAAACTCGCAAGTCCCGCAAGCTCTTAAGAGTGACTTTATTAAATGACTTTATTAAATTTTTTAATGGTAAAATAACTAAGATTAGACAGACCATCCAGTGCACATCGTTAGCTACCTATGACTGCCAGACTCCTGCTAGTCTTATGCCTATCAATAATGAGAATTTTGAATCTTTCATTCCTATAAAACACTCAGAACTCTTGAGCTTAATTTCCTCCTGTAAATCCTCTACAAGCCTCATAGACCCAATTCCTGCAAAATTCTTCAAGGAAATTGCACCACAGATTAGCAATACCCTGTTAAATGTGTTAAACTCATCTCTTAAGCTTGGATATGTTCCGAAACCTTTTAAAATGGCTGCTATTAGACCCGTCCTAAAGAAACCAAATCTTGAACCTAGTGTTTTAGGAAACTATAGACCTATCTCAAATCTTCCTTTCATTTCAAAGATCATGGAAAAGGTTGTTGTTCGTCAGTTGTCTTCTTTCCTACAAAAAAATAATACTAATGAATTATATCAGTCTGGCTTTAGATCAAACCATAGCACAGAAACTGCTCTAGTCAAAGTAATGAAAGCTTTACTTATGGCTTCAGACCGTGGCTGTATATCGCTGTTGGTATTACTAGATTTAACTGCAGCATTTGATACTGTGGACCATAATATCCTCTTGGACCGTTTAGAAGGTGTAGTTGGCATTACAGGGACAGCACTGTCTTGGTTCCGCTCATATTTAACTGATCGCTATCAGTATGCCCATGTGAACAACGAATCATCCAAGGCCACCAAAGTCACATACGGTGTCCCACAAGGATCAGTACTGGGACCACTACTGTTTACCCTATACATGCTACCTCTTGGTAACATTATTAGAAATCACGGTGTTGGGTTTCATTGTTATGCAGATGATACACAGTTATATATATCTGTTAACCCTGATGATACATCACTCCTATCTCGGTTAGAAGACTGTCTATTAGATATCCGGTGCTGGATGGCAAAAAAATTCCTAATGTTAAACACAGAAAAAACAGAAGTACTGGTGATTGGTCCCAAGGCTGCAAGAAATACGTTGCACCACCTCAGCATTAGTGGCCTTCCTACACAACCTAACACGGTGGTTAGAAATCTTGGTCTTCTAGTTGATTCAGATCTATGTTTTGATGCTCACATAAAAAGTATTACTAGAACTGCGTTTTATCATCTACGGAACATAGCCAAGCTTCGTAAGATGCTCTCACTTTGTGATGCAGAAAAATTAATACATGCCTTTGTAACTTCCAGACTGGACTACTGTAATGCCCTCCTTTCTGGTTGCCCGTTTGGATCCTTACATAAACTTCAGCTGGTACAGAATGCAGCAGCCAGAGTTCTCACAAACACTAAAAAATTTGATCACATTACACCAGTCTTATCCTCCATTCAGTTAAGTCTCGGATTGACTATAAAATACTGCTATTAACTTATAAAGCACTGAATGGCCTTGCACCAGAATACCTTAGTGATCTGCTGACCTCATACAACCCCCGCGCTTGCTTCGTTCTCAAGGTGCGGGATATCTGTTAGTACCTAGGGTAGAAAGAGCTACGGCAGGCTGCAGAGCTTTCTCCTATAGAGCTCCTCAGCTGTGGAATGGTCTTCCACCGGATGTGCGGGTTTCAGGCTCACTCTCAATATTCAAGTCTAGACTAAAAACACACCTGTTTAGTTTAGCTTATAGGGACACTAGTTCTAGCTCTAGCTAACTTCTCACTCTTAGTTAAACCTATAGTGTGAGGTGTAGAGCTGGGTGGGGATCGGTGCCATTGGCTTTGGATAAACTGAATTGACAGTGCTGTCACTCTAGCTTCACAATTGCTTGTGGAATTGGAGTGCTGTCATTTCAGGGACTGCGCATGCCTGCATTCCCACCTGCCTCTCCCTCCTACTTATGCTGCCATAGCCATATCTGCTGGAGCATTACACTTCATATTGCACTCATCTAACTTTTGGCACTGCCTATAGTCTCCCCTACTTTGACTAATTGCATATTTTATTTCCCCTACTTCTCCTGGGGGGTGCTGCCTGGAGCCCTCAATCTATCAAGATGTCCAGCACACCCTGCTACATGTGACGTCGCCTCTACCAATGACGTCCGTGCATCCAGCTCGCCGTTCTGCCTGTGTCATCTTCCTTGTATGACCCGCTCCCTGCCTTCTGGCTGCCTGGCGATTGGAGGGAGCGGTGGCACTGGCTTGCCATCTTCCCCCTGCTCCCCGTTTGTGTCTCAAAATTTACTGTATTTGACTCTCCCTGCCGGCCCCTGGAGGATGGGCTCCCCCTTTGAGTCTGGTCCCTCCCAAGGTTTCTTCCTTCTAGGGAGTTTTTCCTTGCCACTGTCGCCTATGGCTGACTCACTGGGGGCTTTGGGTGGGGATGCTGTGAAGTGCTTTGAGACGATGTAATGTTGTGATAATGCGCTATACAATAATAAATTTGTTGTTGTTGTTGTAACAAAACTGCAAAAGAATCCATTTTAAATTCATTAATTTCTTGCCATGATCATTAATGCAAATACATAGATTTTCGCAAAATGCTACATTACATGTCACCACTAGATGGAGGTATATTTACAGAATTAGATGTTTATTCAAATCACTGACACTATTACAGGAAAAAACGGATTTCTGATTAATAAAACCGATAATGCGGTTAAATTGTTTTATGTGAAATACTTCATTTTGAAATACAATTTCATTATTACACTGCTTGTAAATGAACGTAAGTTTTTCAGAAGAATCTTATAATGCATTTTTAACATAACTACTTTCCTGCTCGTTAGCATAATACCTGTATAATGTCTGCACTTAGATCAAGATCTAGTTAGCCAATTACTAGAGCTCTGACAATTGTATTGAAAATAAAATTGAAAAAGAATTGTTTGAATTGCATATTTCTGCCATATAACTGTTATATACATAGTAACAGGTACCACAGCATCCAGACTTCAATCTACCTCTGGACTGTAGCAGTCTTGGAGCCACCACCGGTCACAATTCAGAGGAACCAATCCAAATGCCTTTGGGGTGAGATCCACATTAATACAGGGAGAT